CTTCTGTGCCATATGGTCATATCATATACCTATGGAGGATGCCCAGCTGGAGCTCCAAGCAAGCCATGTATCCTGCTATGCGAGGATTAGATAGACTGCCAGAAGTGGAAACTGTGGGACACTAAATGTGATCAATCAAATGTCATTAGTCTTTTTAACAAATGAAAGCCAACGGGAAGAATTGTCTTACCTTATATACAAAAGTTAAATCGCGCTCGGATCTAAAGCATTTTAAGTGATGTCCAGTCATATGCTGGTATTCATTTCAGTCTCAGCAAAATCTGGAAACAGCTTTGTCTGATCTTTGTTCTGCTCAAAAGAACCTGGCAATGTTTGTAGTTGCTACAAAAATCTCTCTTCTTTACAGAAATTATTTTCAATTTTGTGCAATAATATGAAAGAACGTCTGTGCAGGCCTGAGACTTTTGAGAGGCTCAGAAATATTTGTTAGTTTGTAGTGGCTAGCTCTCAGCTGCTATAAATCAGCTTTAGTTTGTCTGAAATCTTTAGAGTTACAAAAGTTTATCCTAGTTGAAAGATCTGACTCTGTAAAGTTTTGAGACATTGAGAAGAAGGAAGTGGTCTGCCCAGTGGTACGGGAGCTCTGTTTATAGTTCTTGTTTGTGACATTCCTTTTGGGAGCTGAAAACAAATCCAGATTCCAGTCATGACATCTGAATTTCCAGCAGGCGCACCAGTTTGTGATGAAGACACAAACATCAGCATGCCATTGGCATGGTTTTTTGTTTTTGTTTGGGGTTTCTGGCTTGGCTTCTACCCAGGCAATTGTAGTTATTTAATCTGAAGTGTCCGTGAGCCTGCGGGCTTCAGCACAAGTCCAAACATTAACAGGATGGAGGGCATCATGGTTCTCCTATAGCAAAATTAATCCTAGTGGCTGCTTTAGAAGAGAGAAAGAAGTCGCAGAACACCTACATCTGCCGCGGGAACTGCCAGCCTAGGCCAGTGTGCTGAATGAGATAAAGCAGACTCCAGATTATCAAAGGCTTTTCTGGCGCTCTGAGGTGATGGAGCCAGAGCTTCCATCCAGGGGCTGGGAATTTAAGTGAAGTGCTTGACTTCAGGATGTGGTACTGCTCCGCACAAAGCCTGTCTCCCCAGAGGCATTTCAGAGAGAAAGATTCAAGAGGGCATTTGAGATGGGAGCAATGCATTCAATAGAAATTGAATTAGGGAGTAGGAGAGATGTGGAGCACGCGAGACAAGTTTTTTGCTTCATTCTAGACTTAAGAAGCTTTTTTTATTTTGTTGGTTTTGGGAGGCAGTCCTCGTTGGGGAATTTTGAATGTTTACCTCTAAAGAAGTAGAAATAATGAAGGTCATTACAGCTCAATAAAACTCCAGCACGAACTCATTCTGACTCCAAATGTTTCCAGAAATAATTTTCAGAATTTTATCTTTTGGGCCTGTTTCATATAGTGCAGGCATTTGAGCTCAAGCCCCTCCAGGAAGGGGTGGTAGCGTTGTCCAGAAACTTGGCTACAGCTTCAAGTGCTCAAGTCAGCCAGAGGGTATGATAGCAGTTAAGTGTCCTGGATCTGTAAATGATGCCATTAAAGGCAATTTCTGTCTTGTTTTTGGAGTCTCAGAGAGCAAGAGTCATTACAGTGACCCTTTCCTGTCTGCCTTCAAGCCTCTCTGTCTCTGGGAGACGAACTTAGGGTTTTGACCTCACTCCATATGTATCAAATCAGAGTGCCTTCAGGATGGTTTCTGTGAGTGAGCTTTCTTTCTGAGTCTTTGAACATACCCCCTTGATCGGCAAGTTTACGATCCGACTCTTTAGGGATAAAGATTCAGCTGGTGAAAATCAGTGAGTTTCCATGAGAGAAATTGCGTTTTGCAATCAGATGGGCCCTTCAATACTGCAGCAGTGGAAGAAATAGTGGGGCCTCTGAGAGGGGTCTCTGCAGTGGAATGAGTGATTAACTCCCTCACGTACGGTATATGTTGTTACAGTGATGTGTTGCCAATATTTTAATAAGGGATGACCACAGGAATTTCCTCCTTTATTCTGTGATAGGCTCTGAGTTGCAGGGGAGGTATGTGTTTGCAGAGAAGAGAAAGGAGGCTGCTGAGACTATTCAGTTGGTTTTTTCCTCTACACAAAATCATTTCTTGCAACTGGACTATTTGACAAGTGAACTTCTGTTTGGTTAGATTGCTCTGGTGGCATGGAAATCCCATCCCACGCAGACTGGGCACCTTGCCTCATCACCGTTGTGGGCTTGAAGCAAAGAGAGGCGATCCTTCCCCACGGGTTTGCTATACGCCAGCTCAAACACCTGTACAATGGATACATGGGCAACTTGAATCTGTAAGGTGTTGACCCCACGCTGTCGTCTAACTCAGCTCAAGCACGTGCATAGGAAACCGACTGATTTTAATGACGCCGAAGAAACACTGCAGGTTAAGGATGAGTTTAATTGCTGGACTGAATGTTTGGCTGAATCGGGTCCTAAAGTACTTCAGCATGAAAGTTCAATATTATCTTTACATGATTTTCCTCATTTCTGAAGTGTAGAACAGTGCAGGTATGTTCAGTGTTTTGAAGCGCAGACATCCAAACTTGACTGAAGGAATATAACAAGATACCAATCTCATTATTATAAAGAGAAGTAGTTTTCAGAAGAATAGTGAAAATATCAGAAAAAGTGTTTAATTTACTAAGGTGCAGGAGGGTTGTTGCAATAATCCTAAAGGAGCAAGTCCTGTAGATCTGCAAAGAAATCTGCTCTGTTGGTGTCCTTCACTGGTTTTATGCCAACACGTCTATGTTTATACTGTAAGCTCCACCAAAAAACATTGTGCCTTCTGAACATCTGGAAAACATCCTATACTTCGTTAGTGCTGTGATAGTGATCCTGTCAGTAAAATGGTGGGGGTGATTATTCACAACTTTTCTCATTGTTAAGTTAAATCACAGATCTCTGTCATGGAGTGAGTTAAAATGAGGGGATGCATTTCCTCTTCCCACTGCTAATAGTTGTCACATTTATTATACAGAAATAACAAGAATCCTTTCAGGGAAGATTAGTGGGACTGGACCTTGACAGTGTAACTAGATGGTCTTTTAACCTTTTCTTAGACAGAGGATGGAAGGAAGAAGCTGTCAGAACCTGAGAGAAAATTAATTTTCTGTTATGGTAACTGGGTTATGCTAGCAAGACCAGGCCAGCAGAAGAACTGCTTAAACTTGAATCACTCGTGCCATCTAAGCTAGGAAAGTCTGGAGATAAGCTACGCTTCTAGGAGAAACATTAATGGTGTGATTTGGTGCTGTCCTATTGTATTCATTGCAGTTGGCTTACACCCACCAAAGGGTTTGGCTTCTGATGAACTGTCCTTACCCTTGGGAGAAACTCCCAGTTTCTTTATCGGATATCCATTTTGGCACAGCTCGCAGTAGCAGCATAGCGAACAGCGAGAAAAGAATCTCAGTGGAAACTAGCAATAAGTTTTACCTACTTTTATGACCTGGTATCTCCTTCTCTTTAGCACCCTCTCTCCCCTGCTTCCACCTGGTTTCTGGAAACTAAAAAACCTGTTATCTAACTGCTCTATCCCCTGGCATCCCCCAGACCACTGCAGAAGGGCAGGGGCGCTGCATCCTGTAATTCTCCGCTGTCCTTCTCTGACCCAAGACTGAACTCTGTTTAGTATGTTCATCAGTGTTTTACCAAATCAATTCTGACACTAAAAAGAGCGTGCTTGGTGCCATATTGTCACTGGATATGTTAGGAATCAAATCCTGGTGGGGGAAACTAGAGAGCATTTTTCTCTTGTCGGTGGGCATTTCTCAGTGAGCGAGCTGTGCAGTTCCACATCAGCCCCATCCTTTAAACTGACAAATACTCAGGAGAGAGAAAAGTATTCTATGACAAATGCCAGTAACACACAATTTTAATCAATGTATTTTCTCTCATTTAAAAAAACATTCATACACTTGTATGCATCAAAGATAGCACCACTTAAATACGGGCAGTTTTTATATGGAGCACTTCGTATGCATGTTGTGCGTAGGGCATGTGGGATAAAATACAGCGTACCACAAAATATCATGGGCGTTTACAGTGTGAGTTTCAAATAGACACAGCGTTGACCTACTTCTGCTTCTACAGAAGTCAGCGTTCAGCTTTTCCTTAGCTCTCCAGGGCAGGTCACCAGCAGTGAGTGCTTTGGGAAGTCTCAGCCTTACTGCCTCCAGGAGGCAGGCAGAACCTTAATTTTTAAAGGCTCATGTGAAAGGCTTCTGTGCACCTCGGCCAACGCATGGGCTTTAGCATGACAAAGAATCTTGATTCCACTCTGTGATCTGAAGCAGTCTTGCTTAGTGATTGGCTCTTCTCCCTCTGGTATACAGTGCTGGAGAATAGTGACTTTTTAAGTAAAAAATGGTATTTTTTTACTTTTGAAACATACTTTTTAAGTAAAAAATGGTATTTTTTACTTTTGAAACATTACAGCAAATTGTTATGCAGCGGTTTGTAACATGGCTTCTTTCCAAGATATTTCAACTTCTGTACAAGAATGTGTTTCACATTAAAGCATAATTTGAATAAAAGGAGACATGAACTTGGCTTTCTATGTGTCAAAGAAGTACTAACTTTTCAAAACAGGCATATATTTGACTTACAAGAGTGCCAACACGACCCATTAGGCTACCTATGTATAATGAATGGCAATCCTCATTCCAGAGTATTGACATCTTAGAAAGAGACGAAAGCGGGATACTAATACTGTTCTCCATTTACAGGTGGCTGTCTGAGAGAGGGATGAACTGAATAGTTTACCCAGCTTTGCATATTAGGTTTGTGGGAGGGCTGCAAATCTGAATCTCAAGTTGGACAGGTTACCTTTTTAAAAGGTAAATGGTAAATCAGTCCTGGCTGTCTAGTTAATGGATTAACTGTTTTTCTGTGTTCCATGAGTTTGATCCAGTAGGCAAAATATGCTTCTAATCGGTATTTCTTTTTCAGACAGCTGGACTGCTCAGCTCTACTGCATGAATGGGAAAAAAGTGCTTGGCTCTTCAGAGTAAGTGAGAGTTTGTCTGCGAGACTTCTCGTCTTACTAATTGACAAAACGGAGAGATGAAATCTGATTTATAGTTTTGGAAGAATGAGGTAAGACAGAGCGTTTCTTTGGTACCAGCCTTTCCTTTTCTATGCCACGTTTTTACCATTAACATTTTTGCTAACTGGAGGAGACAGATCAATCAAGAAAGCACTCATCTCTTCTCTAGAACTGCCTGTACTGTTTCAAGTGCCTGAGTGCAGCCGCAAATAAATAATTGAGGTTAAAAAAAAATGCAATACAATTTTTCCCTCTTATCCTTAGATGGGCAAAATAGTCCTGTATCAAAGTCTGATCCTTATGGGCCCTACATCTGCTAAGCATAGCAGCTGTACCTGTTTGATAAGGACAGCAAAGACACCCACGGAGGATGTTCACACAATCGCAACTATCTGAAAAAAGTTTCCTCAGTTGGAAGTCCCTGTCCCTCAGGTTCTTGATAAGCCCAGTGGGAAGTGCAGAGGTTTAGCTTAAACCATCACGGAAGGGAGTTGTTTGAAATCTAAAGGTTTCTCTGCTAGAATCTTGCTAGAGTAGCAACTTTCCCCCATCTCTTAGGAGTGAAGCCTGTTTGGTATGAATGAAGTTCAAGAGTTGGATAAGAAGAACGTAAGTGCAATAGATACTGCAGCTTACCCTGTATGGTCTTCTCACTCACCACCTACCATTTTGCTATGGATGCCTGAAATGTTAGCTCTCAGAGAACGTACTTTGTTATCACTTACAATGTCAGTTTTACCATATCAGTTCTTTCCGTAGTTAATCTGTCATGGTTTCAGGGACTAGATTTATTTTTACTTTTGGTCTTTCTTAGATTTCTCTGATGTCTCTGCTCCCTTAAAAGCTTTAATGATAGCTTTTGTTTATTGTCTTTTCATTTATAGGGGCTAATCTGTTTTTAATGTCTTAATCTGAGCAAAGTGATGCACTTTGCGTAGTATGTTAAATGTTCAGTTGTCTGGTGATAGGAGGGAGAGGAGGCGTAACTAAGCTGGCTATCTAGGGAAAGCATTTTGTGAACTAAAAACTGTACTGTCTGCAGGCATCCTTAGTATAGCATACCTCCAACACACTAAGCAACACTTAAGAAATGGGATATCTTAAGTATGCTGGGCAAATACTGAGGGAGTTGACTATAGTCATCTCAAATCCCTTAGGTTTGTGGGCTTCATTTTATACTCAGATTTTACAGCTTATGGATTCTCCTGGTGTGTAATATCTCTCAGGAGGAAACAGGTAATTCACAGCATCAAGCTCCTAATAGTAAACGCTATTTTTGTTTTTGTGTTGAAATACAGAGATTGTAACAATTAAGTTAACTTTAGGACTTGGGGCTTTCTGGTGTTTTGCTTTGTTGGTGGTTTTTAGCACTCCAAAGTTTGACCTACTTTTTGCTATCATGCATTTTAGGTTTATCATTTGTTTTGCTATGGATATTATTAATTGATTTAAAAATTAGTTTTTGCATATTGTCAGCGCCAGTTTCATCAAGGTAAAAATGTGCCAGGTGAAACCCTTGACAACTAATACTTTGGTAGTTATGTAGATTATCTCACTCGATTGTTTTTATGCCTAGCTTTATCTCTTTTGTTCAGTTTGAGTGTGCAACTTAATTAGATGGTGTGTTTACAAAAAACTCGGATAATATGTGAATGCGTCATTTTATGTTACAACCCTCTCGTTATGTGGTTGTGTACTTGAGAATGAGATCCCTAAACTGTAAGAGATGCTTGCTGGAGAACCAAAAATTGAAAGCTATGCTAATGTATCTTTTAATCATAAGAGCAACCCTAATTTCAACTGTATCCTGAAAGATCTCCCTTTTAAAAAAATAAAAAATAAAAAGGGGGGGGGGCAGAAGGAGCATGGAGGAAGTGTAGAATGGGTTTTGATTTTTTTGAGGAATATGTCGTTGTGTTGGTTTCCTGTGTCAGTAGTAGGTATTTTATAGACTTAAGTATCTATTGAGGAAGTATAGAAACATGAACATTTAAATTAATGTATAAAGTAGAGCTTGGCAGTTTAAAAATAGCCATCCAGAATTTTCCATCAAAAATACTTTTTGATGAAAGATTAGATTTTTAATTTATATTTTTTCACGATAAACTTGTACGTCTGTTTCTAAAAAGTTTAAATCATGTGACCTGTGCTTTGACTGCCTCTGATCTTGTTGGGCTTTATCGGCCAGGTTGTCCACGTAGACTTCCTTTCGCACTGCAACACCCCTTCTTACCAGGAAGGGAAGCTGCAATGTGTTGTGGTTGTTTTGATATATCAAGAAGCCTAAAGCAAGTGGGAGGGAAACAGGGCAAGTACTGAGTCTGTGCTGCCCTCCTATAAGTCCCTGCAGCCATTGTAGATCTGTATAGAATATCAGAACTGTAATATTTTTGCTTTAAATCCTTCATGTGAAGGTTGATGTTCTTGTCAGGGAAAGAAATGAGTTGTCTGGCCTGTTCTGGTCAAAACTGTATTTCCAGCAGTTTTAATCTAGTTATTAGAACATACAGAAACTCATAACAAACTAAAATAAAATTCTGTGTTCTCTCCCCCTGGAAGCCGGCACAGAGTTATTGAATTTCTCTTGTTAATCTGATTTGTAGCAAACCCAGAAGGAGCATGTCTGGGTTGGACTTTGTGGTCACCCAGGGAGCTGGAATATTGCTGGAGCTGCTCAGTGAGTATCTTGCCGGCAGCAGAACTTGAGGCATCAGGGATGCTCCTGCAAACCGCTGCTGTAGCAAACACTGAGAGTGACTTCTGCTCTTGAGCCTGACAGTTTGACCTGTTCATTTTTAATCAAGATTCAATTGCCTTTTATAAAGACTGGATGGAACTGTAGTGTGTCTAAAACCCCAGGAGTCTCCCTGCAATATTCCCTAACTGTCTGTAAGCTTCTTAAGTCATCTGCCCTGTCTTCCCAGAAAATGGAAGTGTTCATCTTGGACTTATGTGAAGTAGCTAAGTCAATAGAAAAACTCTCACAGATGCTCCAGTACCTATAAAACCTCTGAAATAACTGTCTTTTACAGAGTCCATTTTTTCACTCCAGCCAGTCTCATTCAAATCAGTAGATGGATTTTTCAACCCTTCTCACTGGCACTTCACATCTGCCTTTAATTTTCATTCTGGAAAGCAGAAGTCCATTCTAGTTTTGTTAATGAGAAATTCCTTTCTCTGTTTACTGGGGCCTGCTTGTTTCTTTGAAGGTTGATGTTCCTGTGCAATTTTGAACTGTGTGACTGCATAGCCCAGTGCCTTCAGACAGTGCTGTGTTTTTTCCCAGGAAGTGATGTGTCCTTCCAACAGATTTCTTTGCAGCTTGCTAATGTGTAACTGATATGTTTTGGTCTGGAATGTGTTATGCTATTTTTAAAACTAAATTTCATGAAAAACACTAGGTAAAAATATAAGCTTAAACCTTTCTCTGATTTCCAGTCTGGTTTTACTTGTTTATGTATTTAATTACAGTGTTACTGAAGGTTTTTTTTTTTTTTTTTTTGGTTAAAGACGGACTCTAAAAATGTGAGTCTGCTAAGAGCTGCAAGTGCCAATCTCTATTAATTGGCAGTTGATGACTGAAGCGTAGGCCAAGGGCAACCCCACTCAGAACTCAGGTGTCTCTATAAGTGCTTAAATGAATCACACAAAACCTTAGAAATAATCAGGGAAATCAGAGTCTCTGCTTGGTTGAAGATGTTGTTCTTTGCTCATCATTACCAAGAAAAGATCAACTGATAGAGATTTAGTGCTCGTTAATATAAATAATTCTTGATGGCAGAAATTCATCATTCCAACAGTCATTGTTAATCATAAAATGCAAAGCCAGAGTATCCACTAGAATAACCAAAGGGAGTTAAAATGGAAGAGAAGTAGTCTAATAGTATTTAAAATACCTCATACCTAAAATATTCCTATTTACACCTTCTTCTTTCTCTTCAAGTTATGCAGCACTAATGCAAGTGGCATTTCAGATGTGATGTCCATGCTAGGATAGTCCTAAGTGAAGAAAGTGAGGGGCAGTGGTCACATCCTGACATGTAGTTGCCTCTGCCTGTGGCATTTTAGCATGAAGTCAGTGTTCACCAAAGAAATGTCAGCTGCTCCAGGTATGTCTGTGGCAGTTTATGCCATTAAATATAGAACAATACTGAAATACTTAGTTGGCTCACAACTAATATCAGAAAGATTATCCAATACGGTAGTCGTTACAGTTTCCTGCATAACTTAATTACATTATTCATCAACTCTGCCATCAGGAGAAGATCTCTCAAGGCCCAGGTGGAGGTGGGGCATAAGTACAACTAGTGCCAGTGAAATCAACAGGACTTGGCATTGCTTCTGTATGCTTTGCAATCTGGACCCAATTTTAAGCCTTGCATAATATTTATGTGTCAGAAGAGTTAACAAGAATGTTTTAGGGATTCTGTAGAAGTGTAGTTGAGCTGGAGTTTTACTTACTAAGTATTTCATTAGTCTTCCCACAGTTTAAAGTAACTAAGGGGATGGAGTTTCAAATTAAAACAGGAGAAGAACTTTCAGATGGAAACTTAAAAACATTTGAACCTGTAAGTTGTTTGTGTTCTCGTAAGTCATTACTGGTTCGAATTTGCATATTTCAGCAGACACAGGGAAACTCATATGGCAAATTGTATATACAATCATATACTTAATTTGGGGTGAACCACTCCCCTTTGAAATCAATGGAAAAATGTAGTAAGGTAAAAATGAAGTCCTTTTTAGATGGATGCACGTTTTCAAATGACTTCAAAATTATTTCTAAACATGCTAAACTGTTTTACAAAATCTTGACTTCAGCCAGAGTAACACTTAACATCTCCAAGCACATGCTTGCAAGGACTCATAAATGAAAGATTTTAGAAGGATACTTTGGAAAATGTGACTGTGCAAGGCCCATTTATGAAGGAAAATCTGGAAGAATAAAAAGTTTGAAAGACTTCAAAGCATGAGTCACTCACAATTCAGTACTCATTTGCAGGTGTAGCAACGTTGTGTGTTGCAGTGCCTGAAGTGTTTCAGGTAACACACAACATCTTTGAACAAGGATCCACAGTAGAAAAAACATAACCTACTCAGAGCCCTATGCTTCACGACATAAGCTGATAAAACAGCCTGGGTCCTATGCAGGTCCCCTTTCATTCTAGCTTATTACATGTTTGAGTCATGAAGCTTGTGTGTCTGATATGGAAGGCCAGTGTAAGACGCAGCTATTACTCCAAATGCACTTAAGCTAAATAGTCTCTTGAATTTGGCAGCTCTTATTGGCACTTAAAATTATTTACAGTTTTTAGTAGTTTCCTTAGTGCTTAATCAGATACTCACTTCTCTGTGATGCCATTTAAATAGATCAGCTGTAGACCACTGATTAAAAAGTGCTTCCTTTTTGTGTGGGGGAATGGGGTGTGTGGCTTTTTGTTGGGGGCGGGGGAAGGGGTCTGCCACGTCTTTGCCTGTGAAGTAGCTTATTGAGTTCAGCTGTACAGTCACTGTCATTGCTAATAGCAGAGTGGCTCTTTGGGCATTTCAAATCTAACACAGCTCAAGGTGGGTCTTGTCTTCGACTCAAAACTTCCCAGCTTTGCATCAGCTGCAGAGGTTGCTCGCTAGGAGCTTGCAACAGTGTTTGCCTTCAGGCTGGTATGCACTACTCAGGGTCTCTGCACATCAGACCGTAACATCCCACTTCACCAATAGGGGATTTCAAGGGGAGCTTTCTCATGGAGCCAGCACAACCAACCCTCAGCGTATATCATCACTAGGACACTGGCAAAGGCAGGCTGCTCAGACAGTCCCAGACTGCTGTTACTCAGTCTTCAGAGTCCAGAAATGCAGTGCCAAACATCAGAGATGACCTGTCTACCCATATGCTCCAATGCTTGAAAACTGATTAGTGACCAGCAGCTCAAAAATGTAATTCAAGTGTCAGGTTATAGACTTTAGACACTACCTGTGGAAAGCAAAGGGAAAGGTAAACAAAATGAAAATTTCACAGGGAACAGAAACCTGAATTTAAAAATTAGTTTAGCATACTCAAATTATAAGCAAGTTTCACCAAATGAGTTGGGACATCTTGAAGCCTTTGAGGCAGTGATGGTGATTGCATAGCTAGTATTTGTAATAGTGGGAGTGGGAGATATTTTGATAGACCTTTAGAATGGGAAATGATTTTTACCAAAAGATTCATGGTGACTTTATTATTAAATTTAGAGGAGAACTTCTGCTGAGGTTAGCATGCTCCTCCAATTTCACTAGAATGTGCTTATTTATCTCTTTGGGAGATCCAGGCTTTAGAGTCCTTTAGCAACGTTCTGTTGACCGCAGAGCTCTATTTTCATTTTATACCTTCATTTGAAAAGACAAGTGGTGGTTTATACATTTCTTTTTGTGATGTGAACAGTTTCCTCACATATCTGCACTATGAAACAATGTTTGTACCTCATAACTGTGCCTGAATGTCCCCAGGCAGTAAAAACCATGTGCTGTATCTTTCTTCTCTGTACCACGCTTTCAATCTGCTGGACAAATGAAAGTTTAAACCAAATAATAATCTCACTTTTGACAAGACTACCTTTCATGATATTTTATATGATGAATAAAACTTTCAACTTTTATTATTGCTATATGTTTTTTTTTATTCTCAAGAAAACTGCCCGTTGGGCTAGACATCCAGTGTACCGTTGTAATGGAAGGAGTAAGGGCTTACTGTATTACTTGTGTCTGAACTTGAATTTGATCCTATTCCCATTTAAATCGGTAACAGAACTCCCACTGACATCTGTGAGAGCAGTTCAGGTTTTTTTGACAGCTGGTTGCTATCCTATAAACTATATCATATCATACTTAGTTTTAAAATATTTTTTCCTTCTGTGTAATTATGAACATGCCAATAACTTATTTTGTAAGCCTTGTCCTTCATATTGGTTTCCTCTTTCAGAAATTTTTTGCCTCAGTGCAACTCTTAAGCTGACTTATCAACCATTGTTACTATGAAATCAAAATATTTATAATCATGTTTTGAGAAAATGTTCCTACTTCAGAGAGAGAAATGCTACTTTTCACAGTTATCCACCCAGCATTTTTATGCTCAAGAGTGAAAGGGAGCATATGGGAATCTGATCCTGTGTAAGCTGCTGGTGATTTTCCACTGAATTATTCCTACCAATTTCAGGAGAGACAGCTAAGAAACACGTGACAAACTGCTCCTTTGGCATAAGGATCCTATTAATCCCTATGCCATAAAGTGTGTTAATTTTCCCATGTCCTGCCCGTTTTTGCAGTTCTGAGTGGAAAGAAAGCAACCATTGTTGATGTATGAGTGTGGTTCCTGTTTGGTTCCAGGACTGTATTATATGGTTACCTGTCTTGTGTGACTCTCTCACTTGCATTTCCACTGCCCATGGACATCAGAATATCGTAAGTGAAAGCAGTGTTATCAGCAGGTTTGGTTCCTGTTTGTTGCCAGTGTTTCTAACATGACAGATGTTTCTGGTCATAGTTGAAATATCTTTGTGCATCGAAAGCAACAGTGTTGGTGCAGCTTTTGCCAGGCATAGATGTCCTGGGCTGATGCAGGGAGGAGAGGCCGCTGCTGCTGGTGGCGCACCTTGTGCTTCCCAGGAGGTACTGTCATGTTCTAGCTGGGCCACCCTGTCTGCTCCCATCCCAGCTCCATGTGTCCTCACTTGGCCGTGGCTGTCCTTGCCCACCCAGTGGCCGTGCTTTAGACTTGAACGGAATCCAGGAGTCAGATTCCTACGCAAACGTGTGCCTTGCTCATTTTTGCACTTACGTGTTGTTAGAGATAATCCAACTTTCTAATAAGCAGGCCTTCCTTTGGTGTGGGGTACAGTGCTCTTCATGAAGTATTGTAGTGTTTCTTGTAGTATCTTGGTCCTGTGCTTTGTTGTTATCCTCTTACTGCAAATGTCTGGTCTGGATTATACGCCTGTTTCCTCACGATGCAACTTTTTCTTCAAATTTGGATGATTCTAGCTTTTTTTTCTCTCTTTTTTTGAAAAAGGTGTTTTCATATATATCATCAAACTATATTTCTATCTTTTACCTAGTTGTTTATAGGACGTGTTTGGAGCCTTTTTCCAGGATGAAGGGGACTTTGCGAGTGGTTGTGACTGGATTGTTACGTTGGCATAAGAACTGGAGTTGGACTGAAGATGGAGCCCTTGAAAACTCTTTTGAAAGCATTTGGCATACACACTTGGCTGCAGAACTCTTCACGCAACTGGAGATGCCTGTGTGCTATGTCAGCACTGTCTCCTCTACGCTTCTCAGGTGGATGACATCTGCCTTTCCGCCCTGTCTGTACACCCAAGCTCTAGCCCTTTGTGAGGAGCTGGGGATCTGTAGCAGTTTAAATGAACAATTTGACTGTCAAACCATGTCTGCTTCTTGGTCAGAAGCAAAATTCCTGTATTAGCTTTGATTGTACAAACTTAATGTACCATTTGCCTGACAGAAATAGAGAGATAGGAACCCCGATAAGTGATTTTAAATATGTTTTGTGTATTCAAAGGCATTGGAACTTCTTCAAATGTATTAGATAACAAGAAGGTCCTGGTATTCCCACCCCAGTGGGAATTCACAGGGTGGGTATTCTGGTGGGTATTCCCACCAGATTTCAGGGACAAGATGAGACGCTGCACTCAGTTGCATAAAACAAGAAGTCAGGGATTGTTTCTGCACTACTCTTGAAATACGCATGCTTCTTAACCAGGGAAGTGTATAGTACTAATAAAAGTCATCAGAAAGCCAGTCTTCTCTCAGTCTTAGTTTAGCTCTATCTTAAGGTATTGATAGCAAGTTATTTTTAAAGTCTGAATGCTTTGCCTTCAAGTCATACCAGAAGTTTTCACATAGTTGATTGAGTAAAGATCAGTTGAAGTGATGACATGCAAATGAGCAATTTCATCAGACTTTCCCCTATAATAGGATCTAGATATCATCCTATAACTATTAATTATCTTTGTGGTAAGAATGGCAGTTCAGCTGAACGGGCTGTGGTAAGTATGCTTATCTCTTGGCTAAATCTGATTCCTGAACCTATCATGAGTGGTGATGATATCATATCCTAAATTGACTGAAAGACTTTAACTGTCATTCACTAGTAAAGTGGTATGGATTAGAGCCATTTGAACAGGGAACAAACGTTTAACATTCCACAGACAACTGGATGGCCCTGGGGTTTAGTGGGTTTTTATTTATTTATTTATTTACTTCCTGCTTCCACTATTTAAATTATTTTGCGCTTCTTGTCAAGAGAAACAATACAAACATACTTAGTGAAATTAACTATACATTAAAAAAGCATCAGCCTGAATGACATGACATAAATCAACAAATGCAGTAATATTGGCCTCAAGAGGCCTGTGTTTTATTTCAGTTTCTGTTCTTAAATAAAGTGCTGTTGTCTGCACTGTGCTGATTTTATTTTCTTTGGTGACTAACCTAATCTTGTTTATGTTACTGTCCTCTTATATTACACTACATACGTCTGAATTTTCAGCCTTTTCCAGGCTGAACAAGTGGTTTAAAAATCCTTGTGCATATGTGCAATCTAGGAAATATTGATATTTTAAGTTTTAAAGTAACAAACCTGAGAAATTTACTTAAATATATGCTGTAGCAGCAGAAAGTTGTTAAATACAGTCAGTCACTCTTAGAAACTGGAGTCTTGAAAGATAATCCGTGGAGACATGTTTTCCTAGTAGTAATTATCTTGCACAGTAGTATGTTTCAGTTTCTCCTGTTAAGGCTTACAGGAATAGGCATACCGGATTCTTACATCAAGGTTTGTTTCTGGGAAGGAGGAGAGGGATAATTTCAAAGGCATTGGAATTTTTTTGTAATGATCTAAGAACGCCTCAGCTAAATACAGTCAATGACTTGATGAAAAAGTTAATGAAGAAAATAATGAAAATGAGTTATTGCTAACTAGAAGACTAAGCCTAGGACATGGTGCTAGGACAACTCGATTATGCCCCACCTTTCTCTCATGACCTTAGATAAATTTCTTAGAGAGCTGAAGGAACCTGAGATCACTTCTAGACCTTGACTTAATCTTGCTGGATTTTCTGAGTTTATCTTGAGATCCTGAAAAGCCCTGCCTTGTCTCACAGCCCCAGATCTTGGCACCCTGCGAGCATGGCCAGAGGGTGCGGTAATGGCTCTCTAAGGCATTTATTACTGGTGTATTGACAAAGGGGTTTCTCAGTAACCTGGTGGTATCAGAGTTGAGATTTCGATCTCTTGGGTCAGGAGGCATTGATGTTGTTGTGGAATAAGCTTGCTCAGCTGCTAGAAGAACTGATCAGAGAGGTCTCTTGAGGTAAGCGGTAGTTGCATTATTTCTGTAGATAAAAGGGAGCAAGCACAGGAGCTTTCCTGATCTGCTGAGCAGAATGAAGAATAAGAAAGCTGCAGCAGAGCTGTCTCTCTGCTTCTTTCCCTCCTCCATTGATTGAAAAAATAAAGTGCGGCACGGGCAAACTTGCTCAGTTGGACTAACAAGAGCTGCATGCCAGCTTCTCCTTTCCTTCACATCAGGTCAACCTTGCATAAACTAGCTCCTGCGCTCCTGTCTGCCTTTCAAGAAGGCTGGATGGCCAGTTGCGTTAGCATGGCGTGTTTGCTTGTGGTATCATGAGTGTTTTTCAGCATTAAGGAGACTAAAATGAGACTTGATTGTATTTGAAAACAAATTACCACAGCCAAACACCTCTTCCATTATTCCTCCCACGCAGGCACAAGCAGAGTACTCTGTTCCTCCTCCAACAGCTGCCTCACTTAACAGAAAATTTACAATGACTTTTCACCATAATTAACCATTATTAGTCTTGCAACCAACAATTTAGAATTACAAGCTTCTCCCAGACTTGTAATATGTAGATGAGCATTGTGCTCTGTCGTAATTATGAGAAGCAAGGAAACGGGCTGAGCTAAATTATTGAATAAAGGGAGCACACAGAAATGCCAGGGGAAAAGCAGAATCCTGTTCTCTTGGTGGGCTCTGCTGCTTATGGGAGCTATTATTCCCAGCAGCTTTTTCTTTTCCAAACTGAAAAGCATTTCTTTCTTTAAAAAAAGGCTTTTCATTTTATGCTGTCATGTAAAATACTCAATTACACTTTTATCTGAAGACAGACGTCTGACCTTCATTGGCCTTGCTTCCTTGTTTTCCTTGCTTGCTTTCTTCTTGTGAAAATATTTTCATGATTCATTTAAATGCGTTCATTTATTTAGGGGGAAAAATCACATTTCAGTTTATAGACATAAATGCTTTTTCATTTTCCTTAAGCCCTGTGAATCGACATGAAAAATAAACAGGAAGAAGACAAGATCTCATGACAACTCAGGAGCTGAAAAGGAGTTGTAATTCAGATCTGGAGGTTTTCGGTGAGCGGCATATCTATTAGCCCACTGCCTCTTGAGATAGCTATGGGCCAACGCAGAAGCCTAGCTCCGGAGTCCCTCAGAGTATCTGTGCTAAGACCCACAATGAATTTAAAGGGTGGTTCAATCTTCATTACTTTTCTTTAAAGATCCTTGCTGGGAATTTGACAGTAATGAGAAGTATTTTTCTCTCAGGCTGATAACAGCCAGAGAAACTTTCAGGAGGCAAATGCCATCACCAGTTAAGATCACTAACTACTCGGTTGTCTTGAGTACCTGAGTGGAGGCTCAACAGACAGCTGTGTGGAAATGTGGGACCGTGGTGGAAATTTATCTGCAGCAGCGACTCATGGAGTAGTCGAGTCATCACCGTAATTCACCATAACTTCTGGTTGCCTTCCAATTTTTAATCTTTGCTGGGTGGTTTTGATTAGCAGTTATTAAATTCACTCTCTCTTTGAAGCTGTTTTCCACCTCCAGCCCGTCTCATTCAAGGCAGTCTGGCTTAGTTGTATTGCCCAACCTGGCCCCCTGCAACGTCGCCTGCCCAGCAGCTTGGGATCTGGAGCCCTGGTTTTGTCCTGTCCTTGCAGCACCAGGACATGAGGATGCTGCTGCTCCGGGTGTTGGTGCGTTGTACAGCTCCTCTCTCCACCCCACTGACTGCTTCAAGCGGCACCGGGGACCCTTAAAAATGGCCATAGCTCAGCCAGGGGGTAACTGTTGGAAGCTGCTTTCCGAAGCTCATTTTTGGGTCCAGCTGAAGGCTGCAGACTGTTCCTTCCTAGGGTAAGTCACCCAGAAATTTATGTACAGCGAGCTTCTGCTTTCTGTGACTCGGGTGACATGAGCCACTTCTTTCAGTGCAGCCACTCGCCCTGGGGGCGGTTAAGCCATGGACCCTTCCAGAGAGGTGACAGAGAAACGCAAGTTACTGCTGCTTTGCTGCAGCGACTGAGAGAAAGCAGAGAGCAGAAAAACTGAAATGCTTTTATCCTACAAACAAACCTGCACAAACATAGTTATATGCAAAGTAAAAATAGTGATGAAAAAAAATAAGCTGAAGTATTAAACTGCAGAAATGAATGGAGTTCCTGTCTTCTGCCTCAGAAGTCCCTAAAAGCAATGCAGTCCTATGAGGCTTCCTTGGACGCTGTACAAACTTGCAGGTTTTTGAGGTCCCGTGAGAGTGCTACAGTCATCCAGTCAGACCTGCGGTTTAACACAGGCTCTAGAGCCTCATCAAGTGATTCTTCAATCAATCAAGTCCACAAAACGGGCTTAAGCTATGCAGCTCTCTTGCAAAGGTTCAGGCTAGATTTAATTTTATTTTTTTTTAAATACCCCCCTCTTAACCATTTAGACCTAAGAAAGCTAGAAAGCATTAAAATTCACTATTTATAAAATACTATCATCCAGGCAGATTCCAGAGTGTGAAGGTGTCTAGGTTCACTGAAGAAGCAGAAGGTAGGGCGGGAGGATATGTCTCACGTTCATATAGATCTGATTCCACTAAAGCCCAGGGCTGCTTGCAAATGAATGCAGACAGTGAGAGAGTGGCCATACTAGATGGTATAGCGATAGAAGAGCTTTAGAATGGATGGCAGGAGCGAGTCTTTTTGCTCTTCCATGTCTGACTGACTACATTGGAGCATTTATACTACAGAAGTTTAATTATAATTTTTTTTTTACTTATTTAAGTATATCCTGTTTCCAGAGGGAAATTCAATATATCTTTGTTCATTTATTTTCATTATAGAAATGCAAGTTAAGTGTAAAAACTAAATTAGTGGAAGGTAGGGGCTGGCTGGGATTTTTTAAATACAGTTACTGGAGAAAAGCATTGACGTCCAACCCAAGGGAAATAGCTGAGGCTGAATCAAAGTTCCATTAAATCTATTTTCCTTTCTTTGAACTGCACATTGTGTTTTGCACCAAAGCTACTACCTGTTTCAAAAATTATGTGACCAAATTCTTTATGTTTTGCACCAAAACTACCACCTACTACAAAAATAATGTGACCAAATTCTTTTCTAATCCTGAGCCTTTGCCTCAGGTTTGTTTCACTAAAAATGCAGGGTTTTTTGTACCGAGTTTTCCAGGCCATGAAATAATAATAGTTAGGCACTTCAATGTGCTGACCACTTTCAAATTTTAACAAATCTATTCTACAGTTAGCAATAAAAATCTGCCATTCATTTGATTATAAATGAATATTTTAGGCTGTAATGAAGCTCAATTTATATGTAAAACGTAATTGTATGTAATTTTTTAAAAACTACCACGTGTTACTCATAAATGATAGTGTGTTCCACGCTCTTTC